AGTTCTGGGACAACAACGGTGGCCGGGACTACGCGCTGCTTGGGCGCGAGCACCCTGGTGGTGCCGGAGCCGCGGAGCCCCAGGGCTGGATCCATTTTATTTGAACTAGGCTCCTGCTGGCCACAGCAGGGACAAAACAGTGGCACCCAGGCGTGGGGGGAGACTGTGGCGCCAGGAACCCGGGAACCACAATTGGCAGATGGGTGGAGGGCGGTCCCAGAGAGTCAAGTCGAGGTGGCTGGAAACCGTCTGTGAAACTCAAGAGATTAGGGTGGAAAATGGCAGGTAGGTGTAAGCGGAAGGAACTCGAGATAAGAGGCCCAGAAGGGCTCTGGAAAGTGAAGCCTCCTTGGGCTAGGAAGCCCAGTGAAGTCATTCGGTTTGCTTCCCTCTCACTGGCCCTACCACCTCAGGTCCCCGTGCCCTGCCCACCCTAGCTTTATCTGAGCCGAAATTGCCTTGCTTAACCCCAGGAATTTGACCATTGCCCCTGGGCCCTGGCAGTGTGACAGCATTCCCTTGACTCTCAGCAGTTCCTGGCTTCAGTCTTCAAGGAAACATGGGAGAGAGTCCTTCAGCCACGGGGCGAGCCTTGGTGGCATCTGCAGATGGTGGCAAAACCAACTCCAAGCCTGCCCTTGTAGTCAAATAATGGGGCATCTAAGGGGTTTGCATAATCAGGCTTCCAGAAAAATGAATGCCAGCCTTACTTTTCTGGGTGCCTCTTAAAACCTTGAAGCACTTTGTGGACTGTCTGCGGAGGGACAGTGAATCATGAAAATCACTACTGATTTATTCTTTGTGCCTCTGAAAGAAGAGGAAACCACCAAGTATCTGTATGATTGAGCAGGTTATTTTATCTTTTTGGACTCCAGGTTCCTCTGTGAGAAATTGGATTTGAGTTAGGTGGTCCCTTAAGGTTCCTTTTTTTTTTTTTTTCTGGACAGGGTCTCTAGCCCAGGGTCTCCTGCCCTAGCCCCTGCTGTGCTGGGGTTATTGGTGTGAGCCACTATGTTTTTAGGGCTACATTTTGGTGTCTCATGATCTGTTCATGGCACAGTATAGGTTAGAAACTGTATTCTCCAATCTAGTGCTACAATTAAAGCCCACAGGGCAAGCCAGGTGTTGTGACACACACAGGGAGACTGTTGAGTTTGAGGCCAGCCAGCTAATATGATTGATTATTTAATCTATCCTGGGCTACATGAGACTGTCTCAGAAAATTAAAAGCAGCAGCAAGGCTTACCTAGCACAGTGAGTCTGTGGTTGGAGATGAGGATAGTCTCCCCCACACACACACCACTTTTTGGGAGTGGGGCACAGATGATCCAGGATACAGCCCATAAGCAGCCCATAGCCTCAGTGTGTTCCACGCCACAGCTCACCCTGTGCCATTTGCTCTTAACTTCCACAGACTTAGAGCCCCAGTCCCGTGAGAAAACGGAGACCAGTATTACTGTTAGGGAAAGTGATGCATGGTAGCCCCAGAATGGAACAGTTGGAACTCTGGAGGTCATGGGTATAAGAAATAGAAAACAAAAAATGAAGGCAGAGGTGACAGTTTGATCCATATCCAAGTCAATGAAATGGAGAACCTGGAGCCTAATGCAATGCCCACATTCACACCTCATGCCCTTCCTAGGGAGGCTCCAGGTGAGAGTTGGGTTTTGCTGGTTGTTTTTCCTTTCCTTGTCTTTCCCTTTCCCTTCTTTCTTTTTTAAGATTTATTCATTTATTGTGTATGCAGTGTTCTGCCTGCATGTTTGCTTACTTGCCTCACTAGCCCTGAGATCACAAGCATGTGTCACCATGCCCAGCATGTTCACATGGATTCAGGGGATCAAATCCAGGTCGTCATGCTTGCAAAGCAAACACTGTATGAACTGAACTCATGGACATAGGACATTTTGGTGGATAAATTCTTGACAAGAATTTGATTCTTTTTAAAAGTTTATTTTATTTTATGTGTGTGTGTTTGTGTGTTTTGACTCCACATATGTGTGTATACTACATGTATGTCTGGTGGATGTCAGAAGACAGCATCAGGGCCCCTGGGACTTGGTTAGATGGTCGTAAGCTCCCATATGGGTTCTAGGAAGCAAACCTGGGTCTCTTGAAAGAGTATCAGTACCTCTTGATTCTTTTGATTTAAAGAAAAAAGCTTTTATTTTTAGGTGTGTATGTGTGTGTGTGTGTGTGTGTGTGTGTGTGTGTGTGTGTGTGTGTGTGACTGTTACTTCTTAACAGATCCTATTTAACTTGTGTGCTAAATGTGTGACATGCATGTTTAAAACAGCACTGTGACTTGAGCATTATCTCTTTTAGAAATAAGTCCAGACTCAGTAATTTGTTCAAGAGTATGGGATTGTGAGCCCAGGAGGTTCCCATAGTCTGTGTGGGTAATCATGGTGGTATGTATTTTTCTTTGATTAAGAACAAAATTAAAAACTTTGCTATATATCCTCTATCATAGGGAAAGACCATCATTCATTATGCTGTGCCTTCCTGTCCTCCAAGGGGCCCAGACTTTTACCCCACCTTCTCCTGTGCCAGCATTCCAGTTCTACAGGGTCAGAAAGGCACTAGCCCATGAGCCTGCTAGAGAACTCGGGAACCAATGTAAATGCCAGCTTTCCATACACTGGGTTCTCTCCTGGCTCTGGCCAACCCGCTATACCACCTGGCGTGGCATCTTTCCTTCCTCTCCCTCCATTATCCTTGACTAGGTACATTATTTATTTAGGTTTTTTGAGACAGGGTTTCTCTGTGTCTTGGAGCCTGTCCTAGAACTCGCTCTGTAGTCCAGGCTCTGTAGTCTAGGCTGGCCTCAAACTCAGAGATCCCCCTGCCTGCTGGGACTAAAGACATGTACCACCACTGCCCAGATTTTTTTTTTTCTTGCATGACCAGGTAAACTCTGATGTTCCTTGAGAAAGGTTCCTGGCTTAGGACAACTGCTAGGTGGTCTTTGCTGGGCTTCCTCTCTGGAACCCCTGGTATTATCAATTAGGTAAATGTGAGCTTGGGAGGGGACATCTGGATGAATAGGAGTCTTCTGGGTTCTTTGCTTTGGTTGTTTTTTATTTGTTTTTGTTTTGTTTTGTTTGAGACAGGGTTTCTCTGTGTAACACCCATAGCTGTCCTGGAACTGACTCTGTAGAGTAGGCTGGCTTCAAACTCACAGAGATCCACCAGCCTCTGCCTCCTAAGTGCTGGGATTAATGGTGTGCGCCACCAACACCCAGCATTTTCTGGTTCTTTACTGAGCTGCTACACACTTAAGAATAAGTGGATACTTTTCTCTAGTCCCCAAGGTTGGATGACCTGGACTGAGCTACCTCCTTGTGCACACAAATAATAGGTGCCTCATTCTTGGAACCCACAACCAACTAAGCTATCACTGTACCACAAACCTTGTAAAACGGGGGAGAGGGGCTATTATGTGTTGTCTTGTGTGTTATTTGTGTGCCTAGTCCCTTTGAGATTCCCAAAAGACTTTCCTGTTCAGATGTCGCTTTCCTGGTACATGAGTTCAAGATTCTCCCTGTCTCTGGCATTTCCTTACCTTGTAAGTGGACTAGTGTAGCAAAATCATAAATTCTACCACCAAAAAAAAGTGAGACTCCTTTCTTTGTTGACACCGTTCTTTCCAAGATTCACCTACACTTCTTGCAGTGCCAGTAAGCAAAGAGGAGTGTGCCCAGGGAGAGCAGAGCTACAGCCGTCTACTCCCACCCCCTTGCTGTCTTAGTCCAGCCAGACATGGGAAATAGTTATTAGTATTTGCTCAGATTAAGGTGCTCTGGTGGAGACTCTCTCTGTGGTTCCCATGCACTGGAAAGTGCCACAAGAGAACACTACTGTCCTTGACGAATCCCAGCAGAAATACCAGCAAAGTCCCTTTGACTTCAGAAAGCATCCTACACCTACCTGTCTGGTAGCTCTCCTTACCATAGCCTGAAAGGCCAGCTCCCAGATCTGCTCCAGGGTCGCAAGAGTAAACCTCAGAGTAGTGAGGGCTTAGGAAAATTCTTACCTATCTGAGGGTTAGACTTTTTCTGAGGGGAAAAATAAGAAAACACAGACACTTTCTGGTGATAACTTACTTCATCTTGAAAAATTCTCTCTGAAAAATCTCTCTTCACAGCTTCCTAATTAGCTCTGTAACCCTTCTCATATCTCTTTCTACACCCTTCTCTCCCACAGCCAAACTCTGAATGATAGGTTATATGTTACGTTTTCAGGGCCTGACCCATTCTCATAACACAAGATAAGTCACAGAGTTTCTCCTAGAGGGGTCACATTGGCAGGCCAGTGAGTAACCCGTGGCCATGGACATAGCTCTTTCCCAAACAGAAAATGACACTGGAATTCAATACTTGAACAATAATAGTTAATTAGCTAAACCTTGAATGGTAGGGAGTACAAGCAGAAAGTCCATTTATGTCTACTAAAGTTACTTTGAGCTCTGACCTTGAGTTAGCAAAACACCTGGGAAAATGACTTCATGTAGGGGCAACTAGTTTGCTTTGAATTTGTTCAGGAATCTAAAATTAGCTGTCTGTGTAAAAGGCTGTCTTTATGCCTGAGAATCCTATGTCAGTCTAAGTAATGAAAAATAATCCTACTGTTAATTCTATTCATCAAAATTATACAGCTTAAGCAGAAATCATCTTCCTGACTATCCACAGCTGTATGTGTGCACAAATAGATGGAATATATACATGGGATAAACACACAAGCAATGGGAAAACATGCTTAGCAGTTCTTAGGGAAGAAATGAAGTGGCTCGTGGGAGAAATTACAGACAGACACAATTATCTACAGCCAGTGATACCACAGCCTTGCTCCATTACTCATCTGGTGGGTCAGCCTGCTGAACACTAGTTGTCACCCCTGTATACCCTCCTGGCCCTTTGCAACCAGAAGCTCTTGGCACCTTTTCCTGGCCCTTCTTTCATTCTCCCTTTCCTCTCTGATATTTTGACTTGAAACATGGTTCTATTGCTTAGCCCAGTGTTGGGACCCAGACCCCACGGGGTCTCTATGAATTGTTTTCCAGCATAACCACAGGTACCTCCTGTTTCTCGATACTCAGACTTAGTGGTGGTGCAGGGCAGCCACAGCCCAGCCTGATGTCAAATGTGTAATGCTCCTGCTTATCCTCCCGAGGGCTAGGATTGCTGTGCTACTGTGCCAAGCTGCTTTTTAACACGATTGCCCATTTCTTTTATAATGAGCCCTAACTCTTCAATTTCCAACTTCTATGTTTTTGCTTCTAGCTT